ATCCAGAGAAAACCATAATTCAAAAAGATCCATGCACCACCATGTTCATTGTAGCACTATTTAAATAATCAGGACATGGAAGCAATCTAAATGTCCATTGACAGGGATGGATAAAGAAGATGTGGTAAGTATATATTACTTGGCCATTAAAAAGAATGAAATAGTGCCATTTGCAGTGATATGGATTAGACCTAGACACCATCATACCAAGTGAAGTAAGTCAGATGGAGAAAGAAAATATCAGATGATATCTCTTATATGTGAAATATAAGCACATGATACAACTGAACCTATTTACAAAACAGAAATTGAGTCACAGATGTAGGAAACAAATACAGTTACCAAGGGGAGAGGGGGCAGGAGGGATAAATTGGGAGATTGGGACTGACATGCACGTGATTGCTATGCTAAGTAGCTTCAGTTGTGTCTGACTCTTCGCGATCCCATGGACTGTAGCCCTCCAGGCTCCTCTATTCATGGGATTCTCCAGGCAAGAATCCTGGCGTGGGTTGCCATGCCCTCCTCCAGGCAATCTTCCCAACCCAGGGATTGAACTGCTTTCTTATCTCTCCTGCTTGAGCAGGCAGGTTCTTTACCACTAGCGCCACCTGTACATATACACACTACTGTAAGAACCTGCTGTATAGCACGGGAGACTCTTCAATACTCTTTAATGACCTATAGGAATAGAATCTAAAAGAGTGGATATATGTGTATAAATATATAACTGACTCACTTTGCTGTACTGCAGAAACTAACAACATTGTAAATCAACTCTACTCCAATAAAAAAAATAATTTAAAAAAGTGAAGAAGAAATAAAAGACTTTCTTCAACAACAGAAAAAGGAACTTTTAGAGTATAAAGGGCGAATGTAATATATATTGTTTTTTCCTTAATGAGAGACAGCATTTCCTCAGGGAGGAAAGCTTTCTCTTTGAAATTCTAACCCTTATTTCTTAAATAACACTGGTAAAGTTAATTGGAATACTGACAGTTTCATCTTCCTCAGAAATTTTTGCAAGTAATTTGTTGTATCATTTTGTGTTTCTGAAAGAAACGTAAGAGAAATGCTTTGCAAGTGATTGAAATATGGTGAGGTTTAGTATTTTGTTTCAGATTTTGGATTTGGGTTAAGAATTTCTGATTCCAGGTCAAGAACTGATAGTTACTCCAATCAAAGCTCACATAACTTTAAATTCTTTTGGCATTAGAGATGTCTTGGCTAGGGAGAGAATGAGCAGTAAAAGGCAGCTTAGATGTGTGAAAAAGGAATAGGTTAATACCAACCAATCATCCTGTCTCCTACTGAGCCAGTCAGACACAGACAAATAGCCAGTTGGTCGTTAATGTAAGACTTTAATATAATTTAATATAATTTCTTACTGGCAAGCAGCTTTCTGCTCAGAGCAAAATCAGTTGGCAGTGATGTTACTATATTAAGTTGAAAGAGTTCTGTCATGAGAAGTGTGTCTGAAATGTGGAATATATGTGAGGGAAAGGAAATATAGGAATTAATATGGTATATGAATGAAGACTTGAAGAAAGTGAAGACTACTGTGTAGTATTGGCTCAGATGGTAAAGAATCCGCCTGCAGTGAGGGAGACCTGGTTTCGATCCCTGGGTTGGAAAGGTCCCCTAGAGGAGGGCATGGCAGCCCGCTCCAGTATTGTTACCTAGAGAATCCCCATGGACAGAGGAGTGTGGCAGGCCCCAGTCCATGAGACCACAAAGAGTCGGACACGACTGAGCGACGAAGCACAGCACTGTGTAGTACAGAGATTCAGTTTGGAGTCAACCAGACCATGATTAGAGGAAAAGCAGTAAACACGAAACAGAGAAGAAAAAAAGAGCTGCCAATCTGTTTGGTCTCTCTCTGAAATAAACAAAGGTAATTTATTTGAGACTTATGGTAGTGGCTTATTCAGTGCTTTAATTTGTAGTTCAAAAGTAAGACTAAGTTAAATTGCCAGAATCGAATTAATTTGAATCTTAAATTTGAAATGTATTCCATTCCTGAATAAATGAAAATAAGGTATAGTTCTTTCATGATTTAGTCACTTTACAAGTTTGTTAGATATCAGTATAACTATATTGCTAGAAAGCACATATCCAGACTACAAATCTAGATCACAATAGTGGAAGTCTTGAGTTCCCTTGTGAATTATAAAGGGAGAAGTGATTATGAACTTTTTGGAAGAGGGTAATACCAAGCAGAAACACACACACAAACACAAACCTGTAGTTCTTCGGTCTCTTTCTTCCCTCCACCTCTTGAGTCTGCTTGTATGTTCCTGTTCCTCTGTTTTGATTTGGGTTGGGTCTAGATTTAGGTGTTTTACTTAGAAGCAAGAATTGAAGTAGAAGATCAAAAGAATTTTTCAAAATCTCATCTATAGCTAAGCTTTCTTTTCCATAGTAGATGGTGGCTAATCTGTTGATTATTTGGTATTGCCAGATACCTGATTCTCATAACTTTATAAGAGTAGACTTTCTTTTTATTTCCATTTTGGGAAATTGAGGCTCAGTGGTCAAATTCTGACTTCATACCCTTTGAAAGTGGCAAAGCTGGCCCTCAAAACTGTCTCTCAAAGACTCTTAACCACTAACAGGATTCACATGAGTACCTTTTTGTAGGATTCTTTATTATTAGAAAGGATTTCTTTAGAACCAAAACACAATAGTACCTTCTTATAACTATAATCTTTTAGGATATAGAAAAAGTTGTATTATTATGAGCTTTGCTTTCTAACTGTATTTTTTTTCTAGTATTTTTTCTTATTAAATGTTTCCCATTTATTTCTGTTTTGATTTCACAAATGTATTGTGGTGGAATAGAACTGTATCTCAGCATAATAAAATCCACAGTTAGGAATTCTAACATTTACTTTAGGAAACATCCTGGTTTTGTCATTGAGTTCTCTGTGTATTTCTGTATTTATTTTTAAATGGTCAAATGAATAGTCAGGTCTTAAATTTTTGAATTAGTATGTTAAATGAAGTCACATGTTAATTTTCATTATATTGGGTTGGCTAAAAGTTTGTTCAGGTTTTTTCATAACATCTTATGGAGTATTTGACAAAGGGGAATCAAAGTACCTTCAGTTTTTTACAGGACTTCAAAGACCACAAGAAGGTCATAGAAGAGAAAACCTGCCAAGGGTTCTATATATCTTCTTCAGGGAGGAAAATCATGTGAATTTAAAAAGCAGTTTTAAACTAGAAATTCCTCAAATATTTTTAGTCCCTTGCCTGGCAGTACATGCATGACAACCACTACAGTGTTCGCAGTGGGAGCATGGTATGTCTAAGGTGGTAGAAAGAATAAGAACCACTGCTCTGGAGTATTTCTTTAGTGTTATTAAAATTCATTGTTTTACTGGTTTGTGAGAGCCACTGAGCATTTGAGCTTGTACAGCTCAGTAAAATTCAATTTTGTCAGCATTGTAGTTATTATAATTTCCTAATGTCTAATAAGCTGTACTTTAGAGATTTTTCTGTTTTTATTGGAATGTAGGGTCTCAGACTAACTAGTAAAAGAGAACAATAAAGTCCTGAAATTCTGTTCCATGATTAACTTTGTTAGTGTAAATTTAAATATTCTCAGGTCAGTGGTATGTTTTGTTTTTACAATGAATGATAATGTTGACAGTTAAAATTAGATTTCTGTTCATCAGTTTTTGTTAGAGGAATTTGTTTTTCTTAAAGGGACAAAGTATTTAGTGTTATCTGTTTTATTTTACCAAATAGTAGGTTATACAGCTAGGTAGAATAACCCTTATGAGCAAATGAGAAGCATCTCATCTGGTCCCAGATGAGAAAGATTGAGTGGAGAGAGTAATAACTCCCATGGACCAGAACAGGAGGCTCTCAGAATACAAGTCTTCTGTAGTCCCAGGTGAATGCAAAGGGGCTGTTCTTTGAAAAGTGTGAATTCTTTAGTCTTTGCTCCTGATTTTACTGGATTGGAATCATTATAATGTGCTCTTCAGATGTTAATTTTTATCTAAATACTTCCCTGGTTTTGATCTGTGCTTATTAAAGAGGACAAGGGGCATGGTAACCCTCTCAGTCCAGGGCCCTTATTATTTAATACTTAACAACTTGACATTCTTACTACTGCTAGTATACCTCCCTCTATGTCCTCGATTTGGATTGCTCCACTGAGAAGATTCTTTTCTGCCTTTGACACCAACTGGACATTACCTTCTATTATTTTTAGCATGTCTCATCCTTATTAGGATAAGCAAAGAGTATTACTGCAATAGAGTTAGTGTAAAGAATGTTAAGAAAATGTAGTAAAATAAGTAAAATTGCTCCATGATCAAGGGAACAAATGTCAGGGAAAATATGTGCACATGAGCTAGCTGGCCCTCATAGTAATCATAAAACTGTCTTTACTGACACCTGGGAACCCACTGAAAGCCACCTAAATTAAGTAACCTATTGAGTTGAAAACTGAAATGCTTATAATAGACGTAATTTGTTAATGATTTATGTATGGACAAATGCTGTTTTTAGTGCTCGGAGAAAAAGTAGAGTTTCATGTAATCTAAAGAAAACATGGTACAAGTAGGACAAATACTGGAAAAAATATGTATTTTAAATTACCAGTAAGAACAAGAGAGTGGGGAAACCAATGCTAATTTAAATGAAAAAATGTGCTTGTAATGGATTAGTAACAAGATTTATATTTTAGAATTAGGTGATGGTACACACATGTGACTGTGAAGCACAGTAAAGAAGTTAACGGGGATCAAACAGCATTTTACTCCAATTAATGAGATTGAAAAATTATATTTGATAACAAAATAGTTTTTGACAGAGAGCTTACATCTTTACTAATCCTGCAGCTGTCTAATATTCTTTTTTAACTTGTGTATTAATGTATAAACAGTGTTTGGGAAACGTGTTTCCAGGTCGTAAGCATTTTCAGTTTTGGTGTCTTTGTTATACCAAATTACATTTTCCTTTTTTCATCTGTTTTTTTCTCCCCCTAGGAAAATGACCGGACATTCCTTCCACATGGGCTATAGTATGGCAATTTTGAATGGCATTGTAGCTGCTCTTACTGTAGCTTGGTGCCTCATGTAAACCCGCACTGAAGCAAAATACTGGACAAAACTTAGTCATGATTACTTTGTAAAACTGAAGAACATCACTGCCTATTCGGAAGACCAAGAAAGTTGCTGCTCATTATGTGGTTCAGATACATGTCATATCATCATCATTACGGAGGACTTTTTAAGCATCATTCTAGAGCCTAGGCATTGGGAATATATAAGGATTAAGTTTCAAGTAGTTCTTAAAAGTGTAAGATGTTTACCTCATCTTTTTACTTTTGTGTGTATTGTCCTTATAAGTTGTAGAAAACATTTTAATGGAAATCAAACTCAGAAACCTGGGTGCAGAACATCCTGTATCAAAGCCTGCCTTTCCATGTATATACTACATTTTTGCTAAGAAATACTGATAGTACTTTTGAGATAGAAATATTTCTTATTTATTCATTGTATTAGAAAAGCAAACAATGCCTACTACTTTGACATTTTATAGAAGCTACTTTTAAATCAGAATATTTAGTTTTCGATATATAATCAATAGAAGGTGCACTTATTTTTTTAACGGGGTATGATTCTTTGCGTTTTTTTTTTTTTTTTTTTACATATTTTCCTACTATATATTGAATTTGTATCTTTTTAAATTGTTGCATCTAGGCAAATGTAAATGTTATTTTTTATCTGGTGCAAACCTAATACTTTCCATTTTTAATAAGTATTTTGTCTTTTAAGAAAAGCACATTGGCCTCACATTTAAAACTAAGTAAACTTATTTTTAACAAAAAAGTAACTGAAAAAAGTTTAACTATTTAAGGAATGATAATATTGAGGAGATTTAAAAGCTATTCCCGCTTTCCATTTTCACAATGCCAAATATTTATCTTGGTGCATATATGATTACTTCAACAGAACTGATACTATCTTGTTTTTAATAAATATAGACTTGACATTTTTATTTTTAGGAATGCTTGAATTAGTTTGTTTCTAATCTCCAAAATTTGGTTACCAAAATAGAAAAAGTATTTTGATACAGTGTGTGTGCATGTATAATTTTTTATGTATAGTTTCCTTATTTTCCTATTTAAATGTTCTTTTGTAATTGTGTTGTTTGTTTTTGTTCTAATTCTAATTAAGCCTTAATTGTTCCAGTTCCTTTCCAAATACCTGCTTAGGAATAGTCACTTGAATTTTAGAAAGATGGACTGTTTAAGATACTGCTTTCCCTGGCCACAGGAAAACCTGCCTTAGGGTAGCTCTGTGTAGGGAAAGTGCTTACTCAGGCCAGAGGGGAAATAAATACATACACTTGTTCATGTTACCTGCTGATTGTTGTTACTGAGTAAACGATTTAATAATGTTTCTAAAAGTCTTAACCTTTTTTTTATTTTTACCATTCAAAAACCTTTCATTGGAAATGCCAAATGCTGTTCTCTCTAATTTAAATGACTAAAGTGTTTAGATTAATAGGGGAAGGGGGTGTTTTTGTAAGGCACACATATTACACACACAACATACACACATCCCATGGCTTAATTACTCCACACACACACTCATATACACACATATCCCATGGCTTAATTATTCCTTGCAGAGTAAGGAATAGGTCTTCTTCCCCACCCCCGGAACCCTTCTCCTTCTCCCTTCCCCAGCAACCTTGGCTCTAAAGGGCTCTTCTATTGCAAAGGAATGTACAAGTAACAAAATCAGTTTTTCTTCTCTCTACCCCCCAAGAACTCCCCAACACCCTCAAATTTGGATAACTTCTTCCAGATTTTTATGTCTTATGACTAAGAAAAATCTAGTAGACCCTTTACATGGAAATCTCTGTATGATACTATATCTATATAATATGGATACAGTATGTATCTCTTAAGCTGCTTCTTCTGGAGCTCTTGTTTCTTTCGGACTGACTCCTCTTTCTTGGGAAACTCCTCTCTGCAGTCTAACATAGGATGCAAATATAAACTGTCCTACTTCCTTAGCAGAGTGATTGACTGAGGATAGGTACCTAACCAAAGCTAGGCCACTCCTAGTTTCTCATCTTCCCTGGCCACAGTGATTGCAGCAGGAATAGAGACATGACTTAAATTAGGCCAGTCTGTTCCCAGAATTTTTCAGGTTGAAATTAAGGTAAATTAAACTGGGAAGATACAAACCCAGGAGATGCTGGCAACCAGGGTTTAGCCAAATTCAGTGGGACAGAATAAGGCTGACATGGATACTGCTAATAACATTTTCTGTAGTCCCTGACACCCAGTGGTGACCATGCCATTTTTGAAATTGGGTTTATTCACAGTTTTGAGAGCTAGAAGTCCAAGAATAGGGTGCCAGCATTATTGGGTTCTAGTGAAGATAGCTGTCTTATTGTGTCCTCACTGGTGGGAGAGAGGCTAGCTCTCTTCCTTTAGAAAGATTCTGACCCCGTAATGAGGGCTCCACTCTCTACCTAATTACCTCCCAAAGGCCCACCTCCTAATACCATCCCGTTGAGTGTTAGTTTCAACCAAGTGAATTTGGTGGTATTCAGGGGGCACAAACGTGCAGTCCATAAAATACCCAGTAGCAAAAGTAGGTTCTTTGAATAGGTAAGATAGACTTCCAGTAATAAAACAGATCTTAAAAGAAATTTTCCATGTTGGTCTATTTTTCCATTTCTGCCTGTCTACTTGATTATATCAGGAACTTGTTGCAAGCAACAAGGAAAAGGAATTTAGTGGAAGGATATCCAGTGACTCTCAGAACTGGTAGGCAAGAATCAAAAAAGTACTGAAAGGTGAAGGAGGAGGAAGCAAAAGAACTGTTTGTTGGTAGGAACAGTATGATCAGGATAATAAAATGAATCCTTGTCATTTGTTCTTGTCCCTTGCAAGATCAGCTCAAGGTTCAGAGTCTTTGGAGAGATTGCCAACTGACCAAGATTTGGTCATGTGCCTCCCCTATTTAGCTTCTGTAATTTGGGATGAGCAGCCCCAAAAGATAAATATTCACTACAGCTCATTCTTGACTGTTCAGTTTCCCCACACATACTGTTCCTTTCATACTTGAATTTCTAAAAGTAAAGCATGCCTAACAGTACAGCTATCATTTACTACATCTGAGGCCAGGACTTCAGAGTATGTTCATTCTTCTAGTTTTGGACATCCTACAAAATACGCTCTTTTTAATCCAAATGACAGGAAAGAAATTTCTTAAAATATATATGACATCAAGAAGATAGGTAGAAGTTACTGTCTTAAGATTCTGGTCACAAGACCTCCCTTGGAGCTGTTCTTTTATCTTTGCTTTGGCCACTATCTTGGCAAATTAGGTTTCTTCCCTAATAGAGTGAACAAATTTACTTCTGACGTGTCTAATGTCTTGTTGATTCTTCGCTACCATGTGTGGTAGTACAACACACCCCAGGGTATCTTCAGTTTTCCCTCTATATTCCTCTGCTTACATTGTGTGGTGGCAACTGTATCACAAGGGTAAAACACCCCAACTAACTTAGCAGTCTTTTTTTGTTTTGCATGATTACTTGATGGCATAAAGAATCTATAATGTGGCTGTTTGAAGTTTGAACACTTCTGAACTAATTTCTTTTGAACTCTTTCTTTATGTACTTAAATCTTTAAGAACAGCAGAGTTCAGAGTCAGGGGAACAAAGGGCAAAAACTTTGTGAGGATATCATTGGGTGTAATAGTGAGAGGCCTCTTGGTTCCTGGACCTATGTAATATAGGAATGGGAGAAATAGCATCAAAAGTCAATTGTTGGATAAAAATATGTACTACATCTGGAGAGACCCCAACTTTAGATCTTGTGTCTCAACTGGCTCCATAACTAAATCTTCAGTAGATTATTCCAATACTAGCTAATGGGAATTCCCTGGCAGTCCAGTGGTTAGAACTCAGACCCTTCACTTCTGGGGCCCAGGTTTGATCCCTGATCAGGGAACTAAGATCCTGCAAGCAAAAACAAAACCTAGCAGCTGATAAAGAGATTAGCAAAATAAGAATTAAGTACATCATCTGACCTCTTCTGTGGACTGTGTTTTTTTGGCTAGAGCAGTGTTGTATGAGAATCCATGATAATACATAAACTATTCAGTAAACCTATAAATAATGGTGCTGCCAGATGTCTCACAGGTGAGAAAAGCAAATCTAAGACCGTAGTATGTTTACCAATGAGGACAAAACCACTGAGATGTTACTCCTAATGCAGTTAGTTCGCTACCAGGTACCCGGGCTGACCACCCTGCCCCCCTTCCCTTCCCCCAATGTGTGATACCATGAAAAGGCAATGGGGGTGAAGATGGGGTGGGAACATAACAGTAGCCAGGATCACCTCTGAAATCACACTTGTGTCTGTGGATTCCATCCTTGCCATCCCGCACTTCCTTTATTCTCCCATCAAACATGGCTTGACAGGAGGACACTAACACAGAATATCTTATCTTGTCTACTTGATTATTTACAGCCTCTTTCACAGGGCTTTGGTATGCGCATTAGCGTATCTCAGACCTATTCTCATATTCTGGATCCGCTTCCCAGCCTTTTCTTAAGTTGGCACCAGTTCTTTTCCAAGCCCCCAACAATCCAGCCACACTGCTAGTGCCTCTCCATGACTATGTATAATCCTTATTTCCCACTGTGTCTCTTCAGGTTACGGAGAACTGCTTGAAGTTCTGCTCCCTAGGAGGCTTTTCCTTCCCTGTTCTTCACTGCCTCCCATGAACAGGGGAGGCAGGACAATTCCATGCCCTCCACCACCTCGTTTTTGACTAGTAGAAACACAATATCTGAGCCACCTAGAAATCAAGCTTGGATTTTTTTTTTCTGAATCAATCAGTTGTCCATAAGGAACTCTCATGTCATCATGGTTTTGAGTTGAATGAAGAGGCAACGTGACAGGAGAACCCATATGGGGAATGAGATCATGCAGCTAACACTCCGGCTTCTAGGACTAGTTCTGCTCAATGATGGAATTCCAAAGATGTACCTAACTCAGTAGTTCTCAAGTGAGGATTAATTTTGTCTCACAGTGGCAAACATTA